TCTTGACGCTTATTACCTAGATGCCTCTCTTTGGCCAATTAAAAGAAGCAATAAATTCAAAAGTCTTAGGTAATGACGCTGCCCTCGCCCATAAGCTTCTGAGGCCACGTCCACTCTAATCCTGATACGCTGATATTAGTATCGGTGTGGCGTATCCGGTTTGAATTCAGTCGCCCACACGAATACGCTACTGCTATATACATTTGCTTATCAAGAGTAAGTAGGGATGTCCCGAGTTTATGGCTTTATTTGATTTCAGTCATCAAACCCATCGGATCCAAATTCACTCTGGAAAGCGGTTTCAAAAATATGCGCTTTCGGTGCGCGGATTCACTGGTTTCGTGTCGAAGTCAGGCCTATTCGTATGAAAAAGGAGGGGGTTTCAAAAGTAACGGGATTCGTTTTTTGATGATATTTACTAACTTGCACTTGTCCACTGAATTACAGACATCATAAGCGACGAATGTCCTACCACCTGTAGATCAAGAGTTTTTTGCCCAGAAGGAAACGGATGCTCCAATAATCCATGTAATCCCGGCTTCGTATGCCAGCCCTGTTGTAATTGCTTGACCTTTCAATGTATACGTAATAAACACTGAAGAGAGATCTCTCTGATTTTGACTGTAACTCGAAGTTTTGCTCAGTCATTTTGTACACTATCTTCAAAAACGCAGTTACTTTGAATAATAATATAGAATATTAACAATATAATAAAAATGATAGACACAGTCACCACCAACAAATGGTTATCAAGTAATCTGAAAGGAGGCTGAAACAGAGGGGCTACTGGTAGCAGCTCAAGATCAGGTAACAAACACCAGAAACTACCAGAAAGTAATATGTGGCCGGCAAGCGGAGAGCAAATGCAGAATGTGTTCACAACATGTGGCAGTGGACCATATTTTATCTTGATGTGAGGTATTAGCCAAAACAGAGTACATCTCCAGGAGCAATAAAACTGCAGCCTACTCGAGCATCTGTAAAGATCATGATATCGGGATTACAGACAAATTGTACGAGCACAAGCCAGAAACTGCGATGCACAATAAAGACAAAAACATTACCATCATGTGGGACATGCCAGTCAATACTGATAGAACTATAACAGCGAACAAACCAGACATCATCGTTAGAGATTCAGTGAATTCCACCTGGAAAATGATTGATATGACCATTGCATCAGATACAAACATCGCACTGAAGGAAATCGAAAAGAAAAGCAAGTAGAAAGACCTAGAACTAGAAATACAGAGAATGAGGCAGATGAAAACTGAAGTGATCCCTGTGGTTGTTGGTGCGCTTGGTACAGTAAAGAAGGGGATGGTAGAATACATCAAGAAAGCATCAGAGAAAGCTATGTTACAGAGGCCCAAAAGATCTACATGCTGGAATCTGCACAAATCTTCAGGAATGATTGACTTGAGTGACTGATGTTCCAGGTTCATTGTTTGCGCCCAGCACGAAAAGAACACCAGCAAAGAAGACAGAAGATATAATAATTATAGTTTTATTATTCATGGAGAAACGTTCTCCCCGCCAGAAGGGTCACCCGGTTCAGGGGTGGGTCTCCCTCCAGCTTTTTGTTCCTCGTGTAAACGGCTCGAAGTTTTGAGCGACGCACATCGACCGGAAGTGGACTTTTTTTGCTCTCTTGAGCCATGATTTTAAACAAAATTTTTGGGCAAATCGTCCCTATAAGGGCTAAGATTCTTAGCAATAAAAATTTGGTAGCGTCAAGACAATTTAAACTAGAAAAAGGCTCACTTCCGGTTGACTTGCGTCGCTCAAAAACGTCGCTGCTTAAACTCCCTGTGGAGAAAGGACCGTCATAGGGAGGTGGCCCACGACAAAGTTATCAAAATTGCGTCATAGGAATAGGAAACACAACGGAAACAAATCTGTCCACTTAGATGAGCACAAAGCTTCACATCGACACTAAATACGAAAGATTTAAAAAGGACGTACATAGCTTGCATACCAATGCAGTCAATGGATTTTCAAAGACGAACAGTCTGCTCAGTGAATATAACACCAAGTTACTGACAAAGATGACACCCGAGAAGGCCACGCTGGTGATGAAATAATTAGTGCTGGTGCGAAGATTTTTTGTTGTTAAAAAAGTAGTGATCTCTAAAGCGTTGTCAATAAGAGATAAAATGGCGACTGTAGAAATGATCAAGTACAGCAGTATTTTCAACGATTCGAAAGACATTTGGTCTTTGTCACTTTACGCAAGAAGGTTAGTCGAGTAGTCCGTGTTGATGTTCTACACAAAGTCAGAAGCTATTTTTTTTTTTACTTATCGCTGAGTCAGTGACTTGAACAAAGTTAACACGAGAACTGCAAAAGTTTTTGGCCGCCTTCATACGAGGAAAGGAAGTACAGCTGGTGAAAATACATTTTTCGTTGAAGGGCTTTAAGAGACACCTTGAAAATTGCTCTGGGCAATTAATGGGAACAAGATAATCACATCTTCAAAGCTTTTTGAGTTAATCGGATGTGAATTTATGGCTAGATTGAAAATCCAGTGTTGATAAACAATGGTTGAATGCAGATGGCAAGGCAATTTCGTCATATCTGACCAAATTACATTTTGTAAAAAAATTCCGGGTGACCTGATATGGTTTTGTCCTTTTGGGTCCGTTAAAAAAATCCTAAAACATCTCTTGAAAACCAAATGAAGTTCCTGTTGTCCTTGTCACAGCAGGATTTTTTGAGGAAGACCTATAGTTAAAAGCCATAACGCTTTTGACAAACATGTGTTTTGCAGCCTGTTGCTCATCCACCGCTAATTTGAAAAAAGTTTAGGGGCGCTCTTATCCATCAGTGAGTAACGTTAAATGTTTTTTTGTTTTATTCCTTTTTTATCAAGAACAAAAAGGAACCATCATATTTGTTAAATGCAGCCGGTAAGTCTATATAATTTATCTCTTGGTTTCATTTTGTTGAAATCTTGGTGCCCTGATATGGGCGTGTCTTTTACATCTCTTGAAAAACAAGTGAAGTTCAATTCCTGCTGTTGTTTCCGACCGAGGATCTTTTGAAACTAATAGCTTAAAATCGTGTATAACGCGTTAAGCAAACACTTGTTCACCGGCCTGTTGCTCTAAATCACCAACAAAATATAAAATATAAAAGGTCTCAGGGGTGTGGCTTGTCTATATTAGTACACGTTACGGGTGAAACGTTTTTTGTCTTTTCCTCTTTGGACATTAATAAAAAGTGTGACTTTCCATTTGTAAAATGCAGCTGGTAAGACCATTTAGAGTTTACCTTCTCTGGTCCAGTCATTTTTGAGGAAATCTTAGTGGCCTGATGTTAGTGCGTCTTCTATGGTCGCTTTAATCCCACGTCTCTTGAAAAACAAGTAAAGTTCCAGTTGTCCTTTTTAGCAGGATCTCTTGATAGACACTAAAGGGAAAAATAATTATGTAAAGAACAATTGTATTCACCGGCCTGTTGCTCCTAATCATCCACAAATATAATTATTAAGCAATAGAAAACGTTTTCCGTGTTTGCATAGCCTGATATAAACACGAGAGGGGTTGGGAGAATTGGAGACAGTTATGCAAACCCCAGACGAAGTAACAATCGAGAATTCTCCAGATCCCTCGAGTGTTTATATCAGGCTATGCAAATACAGGAAAAAAGTTTTCTATTTTTCGGATTTTTCTCGCTTAAAATGTCAGCTTAAGCGAAAAAAAATTGTCACACCTTCTTTGTAACGATTTTCAGTTGTAACGAGTTTCAGCCGAGGAAGAAATGGGTAAATAAAGTAAACTTGTCGAGTTTTGAACTTGAAAACTTTTTCAAATTTGTGCTTGCGTGATTAGCGCGCGAAAAGCAAAACATCTTGACGCCACCACCATGTTTACATGCTCTCGTGCAAACACTCCTCTAGGCCAATCAGAGCGCGCGTACTATCTTAGTTATTTTATAAATCATCATATATGTGTGTCTTATCTAGGGACGGTGACATAATTTTTTTCTAGTTTGAACAAAAAAGTATTATTTCAAAGTTTCACATAAATAAATTCCCAACGTATTGAACATTAATGGTTTTATTAGCTCGTAAGTCTAACGTCCTTGTATTTCTGGAAGTTCAACATTGACTTCAGGCCCATCAGTTCGGTCAGTGTTAAACCATTGTTGGCATTTGACAAAAAATACACGCAGGCAATTCCGTAGTGCTTGCCGGTAGTTTGTGCTAAACGAAAAAATGATGATAGGATTGAGAAAGTACTTAAAACTGGTGGGATAAAGCGACAGCTGACGTTGTCAAAAATATTCGATGGCAAATCTCGTAACGAGCTCTCAATAAACAAAAAAAAGTAGCCGAAAGGGATTCAACCGAAGGAGAATATAACAACGATCAAAATTAACATCTTCATAATTCGTTTATTCCTTTTATGTCTTGTAGCATTTCTCTGTCCGTGCTCTTTCAGCACCCGATCTGTTTTGCGCAAGGAGTGCATGATCCATGAATTTAGAATAATAATTATAATCATAGGTATGAAATAAAAAGGTACACTCTCAATCATCTTGTACACAGTAAAGAAGGCACTGATCTCTCCTTAAGTAAAAAGAACCCGCGTCTTTCAGCTGTATTTTCCCAGCTGGCAAAATACAACACAGGAGAAAGGAGCACCATAGGGAAGAGTCAAGATAACATAAGGAAAATTGTTCTTGTTGCGCCAGTTATAGTGGACAATTTCAAGGGATACACGATGGCCGCAAATCTTTCTGCTGAGATGAGAAGAAATCTTGGTATCGACGCTAAAAACGAAAGATTTAAAGAATACGAACAAAGTTTACATACAACTGAGGTTAAGATATCTTCAAAAAATGACAGCCTACTCATTGAGTATAGCACCCATACGCTGATGACATAAATGACTTCCGAGAAGGCCATGCTTGTGATGAAGTAGTTAGTGCTGGTGCGGAGAGTTTTTGTTTTTAAAAAAGCTGTGATCTCTAAAACATTCCCAATAAAAGATAAAATGGCGATCATGATTTTTGACACGATGACGTACAAGAGCATCTTAAATTCCATCGAAACTATATCCTTCACCATGAGGGAGAAGGTAAGAAGAATTATCCATGTCTTTTTTCCGTAGAGAGTTTACAGGACCTTGTTTGCTTTTCTATCTGTCGCCATGTCACTGATCTTTATTAAAGCCTGGTTTCCATATGATCTTCCGGATCGTCCCGATCATCCCAGTCATCTCAAAAAATGTTCAGACGATCGGGACGATCATATGGAACAAGGCACGAGATCAGTTTCCATCCATTTGGCTGCCTTTGTACCGAGAATGCGAAACAGCTTGTTAAAAAGACAATTGAACTGA